AGGGGGGAGGGGAGGGTGCAGGGGGGAGGGGCCTGCCCTTGCTCTGCACCCAAACCACAGGAGGCCCGTGGCCCAGCACTCAGCCTGGGGTAATTTCCTGTGGGGCGGCAAGAAGAATCCACTGGCTTCTGTTTGTTTGATGTCTGCAGAAAAAGCAGCTCCCAGGCACCCTCTCTCCTAGCAAAGCCAGCTCAAAGTGCCTCCAGATAGCGTAGGCTGGCACTCTCCTCCCGTCTCCTGGGTCTCATCTGCTCAGGGACCCTGGACACCCCCAACCCCTGGGCTGGGGCTGGGGAAGAGGCCACAGCACTGAATAAGCTTGAGGACTCAATAACTGTCCCCACGCAGGACATGGGCAGGGCTTCGGAAGCCCATGAGAAGCTAGAGGAGGAGAGATCCCACCTTCCCACACATCCTCACACCACAACACGGGGTTCCTCTGCCCATCACAGCCCCATGCCTGCCTCCTTCTGACCACTTCTCCGTCCCTTCCTAGATCTGGGACACCGCAGGGCAGGAGCGGTTCCGCAGTGTCACCCATGCTTATTACCGAGATGCCCAAGGTAAGTCCCTTGTGCATGCCAACTCCTCCCCAGCCCACCTGGGACATCCGCCCCAAGTCCCCGTGTGCTCTCTCTCCCTCCTTGCAGCCTTGCTCCTGCTGTATGACATCACCAACAAGTCTTCCTTCGAAAACATTCGGGTAGGTCGCTCTGTCCACCACCATAGCCACCAAGGCAGGGCCCGTGGCGCTCAGGGCTGCTTCCTGCTCCGAGGGAAGGGAGTGGAGCAGGGAACACTGCTGCTTTCGCAACATACCTGAGCTGTGACTCAGGGGTAATAAGCTCCCTCTGGGTGTTTGATGGGCACATGGGAGCAGAGGCCAGACAATGCTTAGCCCTGATGGTGATTCATGAGTGCGTTTCATGACAAAAGTTCAGAAAGTACCCAGCTCCGCCCTGGACAATTACCCACAGAGGCCAAGGCGAGAGCCCGAGCAGAAAGTCTACCTGTACATCCAGCCCAAGTTGCAAGAAGGTGACTCAGGCAGACAGAGTGGCTCCATCCTCACAACCAAACTGTTGAAGAAAATAGACGCTATTTCAACAAATACAAGCACTGACCCCGTGTGTAGCACTGTGAAGGTGTCATATGCTCCCTGACCTCGAGGGGTGGGCAAGCAAACTGGAGACCAAGACATATAGACATGAAGCAGCTTATAAAGAGGATGGAGCCTTGGCTCAGTTGGTTGAATGTCATCCCATGCACTGGAAGCTCATGGGTTTGATTCCTGGTCAAGGCACATACCTAGGTTGCGGGTTCAATCCCAGGTCGGTGTGTATACAGGAGGCAACTGATTGCTGTTTCTCTCACATTGATGTTTCTCTCTCCCTTGCTCCCTCTAAAATAAAAAAATTTAAAAAGAGGGTGGAAATTCAGGGCACTCATACTACCATCTCCAACCCCATGCTCGTGGCAGACATCATTAATCAATCACAGTATTTTTGATCACTGAGCCCTTATATGTGGTCTTAGACTCCCCAACAGGAAATTGCTGGTGACTTCCGACTGATTTGTGAGACAAAGCCTCTGCCATCTCTATAGAACTAGGGGTCGCACCAAGTGAGGTTTGGGGCCACCCAGGACTGGAGAGCCAGAACAAGGATGCAGATGAGAGGGTGCACAGGGCATCATGTTTGGGGGGGGGGCAGTGAGTAGCCCAGGATAACCAAACAGGGCAGAAGAAGGGCAAAGGGGAGGGGGAGAATGGCTGGTGCTCAGCCTAAACCCAGCTCAGCTCACCCTCTCCCACAGGCCTGGCTCACCGAGATTCATGAGTACGCCCAGAGGGATGTGGTGATCATGCTACTAGGCAACAAGGTGAGTGGCTCCCGCTGCCACAGCATTACCTGCGCCCAGCCTTATCGCTGCCCAGGAGTGTTAGCTGGACATGCTGCCAGCAAAGGACCCTTTCCAGTCTCCAGCTCAGGGGTCAGACGTAGGTGACAGCTCAGCCCATCCCATCTGTCCTCATTAAGCTTTGGAGATGGTCCCCTGTGGGGAAAGCTCAAGCTGCTACTTGTGAGATTCAAGGTTCCCAGCTGCTCAGCCCCTATTAGATCATAGTGACAAGGGTCACAGATGCAGACCTAAGACCAGAAAAGGTTGGCCCCAACTACTGTGACCCCTCTGAGGCTAGGTCACCACGCGCTTGCCAAGCAGAGGTACCCACCTCCCCAAGTGGGAGTGAGGTGCCAGGTCCGGGAGCTGGGGAACTCAGCCTGAACCAGGTGGAAACCCTGGCCCCACGCCAATCATACCTCCCGCAGTCCCACAGGCCACCAGCAGAGGGCGGGCAATGCCTACTCCTGGGGCAAAAGATGGGCCAGCTGGGGGCAGGAGAGGGGCCAGCTGGGGAGAAGGCTTCCTTCCCCAGTGACCCACCTGGGCTTGACAGGCAGATGTGAGCAGTGAGAGAGTGATACGTTCGGAGGACGGAGAGACGCTAGCCAGGGTAAGTGACTGCCTGTGGGCAGGGTGATGGGTGGTGGCAACCAGAGGCTGGCTCTGAGGACACTCTTTCCCTGGCAGGAGTACGGAGTTCCCTTCATGGAGACCAGCGCCAAGACGGGCATGAACGTGGAGTTAGCCTTTCTGGCCATTGCCAAGTGAGAGCTGAGCAGGGAAAGGAACCATGCAGGGCAGGGTGGCACCATCTGGGAACCCAGTAGGGCCTGACCTCTGGCCCAGCCCTCAGTGCCTTCTGAGGTCCATTTGCCCAGGCCATGGGAGAGGGGAGGATGCTCTGCACCTCGCTCCCTGCCCAGCCCATTGTTTCTTCCTCAAGGGAGCTGAAATACAGAGCCAGGCAGCAGGCTGACGAACCCAGCTTCCAGATCCGAGACTACGTGGAGTCCCAGAAGAAGCGGCCCAGCTGTTGCTCCTTCTTGTGAATCCCAAGGGGCTCAGAGAAGGCTCCAGAGGCCCACAGTATGCAGCCTTCTCCCCCAGATCTGGTTGATTCTGAGCAGCTGAGCCAATGGGGAGAGAGTTGGGGGCCCAGTGCACAGCCCTTTCCCAACTGGGGGCTGTACCCTCCACCCCTACCCTAGTTCCTGTACCTTCCCTGCATCCCTAGGGAGGGTAAAATATTTATATTTCATTTTAGTGATACATAATTTAACACACACACACACAAAAGGGGCACCAGAAAACCAAGGTGGGGAGCTGGTGGTCCTTTGCCTTCTAGTGTATACTAGGACTCAGAGGCTGGGCCTCCCTCCTAGCCACGATGAAGGCAGTATTGCTCCAGCTCACTACCAAGGAACATGTACTTCTGGGGCGTGAGGGCAGGCAGTGACCCTGGTCCCACCCTCATTTCAGCTGGAGAGGGGCTAAGCAGACCTCAGCCTTCATTTCCTCCAGCTCCCCAGGGAACAAGCTTCCCTATAAGATGGGCCCTTGTGCTGGGAGCTAAACCAAAGCTTATCTCTAATCAGGGAAGATAAGAAATGTGGCGATTGGGCAGGGGCCCAGCTCCCCCCTGGGAAGGGGGAGAAGAATAGCAGAGATTAGATCTGTTTGGCTACCTCTAGCCTTACCAGCCCCCCCCTCCAGGAGGTGTACCCCTTTTCCTCCAGCCCACAAGCACAATGGGGCACTTGGAAACATTTGGTTTCTATTCTCTGGATCTCCCTGAATCCCTGGCCTTACCTTCCTGTCTGCCTATGCCCCTAGACACCTAAGGTCACAGTGAGGAAAAGGCTCTACTCCTGTCCCAACCCTTTGGCGGGTATGCAGTCCACAGGCTACTTCTTCAAGCAGCTGTAGTGTTCCTACTGGGCAAAGAGCCAGATAAAGAGAAACCCCTAACTCTTGGAATAGGTGGGAAGAAAACCTGAGCAAACCTCACTCCACATCTACCCCCTAAATCCAAGTGCTGCCTCTCCTGTGACTGCCCCATGCCCTTTTCTTCTCAAAGAGACCCCAGGGCCAAAGGCACCTCATCTCCCCTCCTACTGAGACAGGTTAGGGAATGAGAGGTTCATCCATTTCTGGGTTAACTAAGATGTGTGCAAAACAAGGTCATGTGGGTAACACTGGCATGGGGAAAGGGGCAGCAAGGAGTTTATGTGGGGCCAGGGTCGCATCTCCCAAAGCCCTGACCCCCTCCCCCCCCCCAGCAACTGGAAGGGGACAGGAGACATGCATACATGTCACTGCCTAGGGGCACCTTTACTCCAGCTCTCCAGGCCAGGGGCAGTGGAGAGGGGGTGAGAAAGAGGTATGCACTGCACATTTCTGAGGCTACTGCATTTGCTTTCAAGGCAGAAATCTTGCTGTCTGAGCAGAGTCAGCAGCTCCGACTCGGGCCCTGATAAGGCAACTCTCCAGGCCTCTCCCAGGCCAAGCCGGGAGGAGCCTGACCTTGCCCAAGGCAGGTCACAGGGGATCCAGTCACACCGGCTGCTCTGGGCCTCTAGCATTTGTTTTTTCAGAATTAAATTGCAGTATTTTGGAAAGTACATCCTGTCCACGGCTTCTCTGAGATGCGCACGGGAGAGGGGATCATGTTGAAGGGAGTGTTGGTACTTCTGCGAGTTAACTGTCATTAACTGCCAAAATCATTTGATCTTCATGTTTCAATGTCCCCAACTAGTCACCTTACCCGTTAACGGGCTGCCCAGCCTCTGAGACCAGCGGCTCATCTGTAAGGAGCTGAAAGGCGGCTTCTCTTACGGCCCTAATCATTGTTTCTTTTATTGAAGAAAGCCAGGGCTCCTTTCCCCGCAGACGGAACTGAGATTGGTTACCTGACTCTAGTCGGCCCGTCCCCACCCCAATTCTTTGGTCAAACGCTGACGCCAATGCCCCTGCCATGGCCCCAGGTGACCCCCCTTCCGCGGGCAGCCCCGTGGAGTCTCCTGCTGAGTCCTCACGCTGCCCGGGTGAGGACCAGAGCACGCGCCCCTGTAACACGGAGGTCCCGGGACAGCGCGAAGTGACTCCACCAACCGAGGGCTTCGTTATTCAAACAACTCC